ATGAAAATAGCCTATTCTCTGGCCCTTTTATAGGACATCCTACCTCCAGTCTCTACTTCCTCGCACTGGCCATCCCAAATGCCTGGGATGCATTTTCTCCTTACCCCTACTTCATAGAGTCCTTCTCTTCCTTTTTTTTTTTTAACTTGCCCAGGGTCACACAGGTACTATGTGTCTGAGGGCAGATTTTTAAAAATTTTTATTTATTTTTTAATATAAATTTATTTATTTTTAGTTTTCAACATTCACTTCCACAAGTTTTTGAGTTCCAAATTTTCACCCATCTCCCCCTCCCCCCACCCTAAGATGGCATGCATTCTGAATATCCCTTCCCCTAGTCTGTCCTCTCTTCTATCTCTCTCCCTTCTCTTATCCCCTTCCCCTTCTATTTTCCTGTAGGGCAGGATAGACTTCTGTACCCCATTTCCTGTATTTCTTATTTCCCAGTAGCATGTAAAAACTTTTTTTAAACATAGGTTTTTAAAACTTTAGGTTTCAAATTTTCTCTCTTCCTCCTTCCCCACCCACCCTCATTGAAAAGGCAAGCAACTCAATATAGGTTGTACATGTGCAGTTATGCAAAACACTTCCATAGTAGACATGTTGTGAAAAACTAACTCTATTTCCCTTAATCCTATCCTGCCCTCCCATTTATTCTATTCTTTTTTTGACCCTGTCCCTCAGAAGTATTTCTTCTGATTACCCCCTTTCCCAATCTGCCCTCCTCTCTATCATCCCCCTGCTCTCTTGTCCCCTTCTCCCCCTATTTTCCTGTAGGGTAAGACAGATTTCCATACCCAATTGAATGTGTATGTTATCCCTCCTTAAGCCAAATCCTATGAGAATAAGATTCACTCATTCCCTCTCACCTTCCCCTGTTTCCCCTCCACTGTAAGAGACTTTTCTTTTTGTTTTTTTTTTGAGATAATTTACCCCATTCTACCTCTCCCTTTCTTCTTCTCCGAGTATAATCCTCTCTCATCCCTTAATTTTATTCTCCAGATATGACCCCTTAATCTTCAACTCACCCTGTGCCCTCTATCTATCTATCTACATATACATACTATAATTTTTTTCCTCAACTACCCTAATACTGACAAAGGTCTCATGAGTTATAAATATCATCTTTCCATGCAGGAATGTAAACAGTTCAATCTTAATAAGTCTCATGATTTCTCTTTCCTGTTTACCTCTTCATGTTCCACTTGAGTCCTGTATTTGAAAGTCAAATTTTCTATTCAGCTCTGGTCTTTTCATCAGGAATGCTTGAAAGTCCTCTATTTCACTGAATGACCATTTTTTCCCCTGAAGGATTATACTCAGTTTTGCTGGGTAGGTGATTCTTGGTTGTAATCCTATCTCCTTTGCCCTCTGGAATATTATATTCCATGCCCTGCGGTCCTTTAATGTAGAAGCTGCTAAATCTTGTGTTATCCTGATTGTGTTTCCACAGTACTTGAATTGTTTCCTTCTGGCAGCTTGTAATATTTTCTCCTTGACCTGGGAACTCTGGAATTTGGCTATAATATTTCTAGGAGTTTTCCTTTGGGGATCTCTTTCAGGAGGAGATCTGTGGATTCTTTTAATTTCTATTTTGCCCTCTGGTTCTACTATATCAGAGCAGTTTTCCTTGATCATTTCTTGAAAGATGATGTCTAGGCTCTTTTTTTGATCATGGCTTTCAGATAGTCCAATAATTTTTAAATTCTCTCTCCTGGATCTATTTTCCAGGTCAGTTGTTTTTCCAATGAGATATTTCACATTGTTTTCTAATTTTTCATTCTTTTGGATTTGCTCTACTGTGTCGTGATTTCTCATAAAGTCACTATCTTCCAATTGCTCTATTCTAATTTATAAGGAAGCATTTTCTTCAGTAAGCTTTTGGACCTCCTTTTCCATTTGGCCAATTTTGCCAGTCCTTCTCTTCCTTGAAGATGTAAGTCAAACACCATCTTCTGCATGAAGCCTTTCTTCATTCTCATTCCTCTCTACCCTCAACTTCCAGTGCCCTCCCTTCTCAATTACCTTGTATTGAACTACTTTTATATCTTTGTATTTATTTTCTTTGTAGAGATGGTCACTTCTGAAAAAATTCTCCAACTACAGTGAAGACACAGAAGTACTATAGGAGATATAAAAGTTAAGGCATTACCTCTTTTCTCAAAGGGTTTACAATCTATCTGAGGAGATAAGACATACAAACAGAAAATGATTCAAATGAAAGAGAAGCTGCTGTTTTGAGTGTGGTGTGGACATTTTCAGTTGAGAGCTCAGGAAAGGGAGAGATCAGGGAGAACCACAGATATCAGGGAAGGATAAGGGAGAGGTCTTGAAAAGACTGTGAACTTTATGAAAAATTACCATAGGCTCACATATTTAGAGCTGGAAGGGACCACAGAGATGACCTAGTCTAACTCCTTCATTTTACAGATGAGGACACTGAGGCTCTGAGAGGTTACATGAAAAGGCAGCGGTCATAAAAGCAGTAAATAGCAAAGACAGGATTCAGATCTATGCTCTTTGATCCCAAATTCACTGCACCAATTATTATTATTTTTTAAATAAACCTTTACTACAGGCATTTTACTGCCAGTTCTGGACATGAGCTCAGTCTCTTATTATTTTTTAAATAAACCTTTACTACAGGCATTTTACTGCTAGCTCTGGACACGAGCTCAGTCTCATGCATCACACCAATAACAGAATGTCTACCACAGATTCGCTTCGGTAACAAAACAAGTTTAGGTGGCTGTGAGATATTCCCCAAAGTGTTTACTTCTTTTTCCAAGGCTCTCAGATCAACACACTGTCAAGTACAAGATGCTAATTTCAGGTTGTTTACCAAGCCTAGGTAAATGCTACACCCCCAGGCTGACTTCTCTTTCTCTCTTGATTTAAGAGCAGAAGCATTACAAAGTAGAAAGTAGCAGAAAAGTTCTGTCTGATTCCAACTCTGCATTATCCCACTCATTCACCCCCTCCTTTCCACTCCTACTCCTACTGAGGACTGGCGTAAGAGATTTTTAACTGGTCTTCTTATCTCTTCTCTCTAAACTATCCTTTATACCCACTACCCACATGAATCTTCTTATAGCACTCCAACCCCATCCACCAAAAACCAACCAAACAAAAAACAATCTTCAGAGGATTCCCCATTCTTTATGGAATTCAATCTGTCAAGATTCTGCACAATCAGATTCCAAACTACCTTTCTGTTATTATTTCTAGTCACAAACTCTATATTTAAATTAATCTAGGCTAATTGCTAAGCAGCCTCCTCCCCCACCTTACACTTTCTCACCTCCAAGTCTTTGTTCACACTGTCTAGAATGATTTCTTTCCTTCTCATTAAGGTTTCCAGTGCCTGTGTGTTGGAATCCTTCCTTGTTAATCGAGATCTAGATAAAATGCCTCCTCCTTACTGAAGCCTTCCCTGATCTTCCAGCTATACGTGATCTCAGCTGTTTCAAATCTCTCATACCACTGTTTGAAACTCTTACGTGCATTTATCGTATTATAACTTGTTATATAGTTATTTGAGTTATAGTTACAATTGTCTGAGAAAACTAGGAGAGAGAGAGCTGGCCTTAAAGCCAGAAAGACCTGAGTTCAAGTCTTTCTTCTGACACAAAGTCTGGATGGGGGTGTGTGGATGGGTCGGGGCATAGAGGTGGGGGGGGGAAGGGATCAGGAAAGGCAGGTTCTCTAAGTCTATAGGTAGCAGTAAAGGTATTCACTTGTGTTAGTAGAGCGTCTTTCCTCCATCAGGAATACCTCACATCCAGGGGTGGGGAACCTATGGCCTTGAGGTCCCACCCCTGCATACCAACGAAATCATAGGTTCAGTCCTTATCCTTGAAGTTATTTGTACATCTGTCTTCTTTTCCAATTGACTATAAGCACCTTGAAGGCAGGGGTTATGGCTTGTTTCCTCTTTAAATCCCCCTACATCGTGGACCACAGTACTAGGTACTAATAAGTGTTAGTTGATAATCTGAAACAGGCCTTAACCCAAACTGCCTTTTCCGAATCTTCCAGAAGGTTCCGATATTCCCCTGACTTTATCAGTTCATTCAATGAATATTTATCAAATGCCATATGTATAATATTACACGCAGTGAACAGTGAGTGCTAGGCATTGGGGGCAGATGTAAAGATAAATAAGACAAAAACATCCTGCCGTCAAGGAACTTAAAATCTAGCAGGAGGAATTTGAGAAGCAGAAAGCTTTATCAGAGCAGATGGAGATGTGGGGTGCATGACCCAGACACTGACATTCCTCGGGTTTCCCAGGATGAGGCTATGTGCCTGAGAAAGGACATATTAGTTTTTCCCAAACTATCTAGGCTTATTCAATTGACTAGGGCTACATTTTGACCTAAGTGAACCTAATGTTTCATTTTACATTGAATATCTGTATTTATATTTATCTATCTATATCTATGTTGTTGAGCTGTTTCACTTGTGTCCATGACCCCATTAGGGGTTCTCTTGGGAAAGACATTAGAGTAGTTAGCCATTTCCTTTCTCTAGCTCATTTTACAGGTGAGGAAATTGAGGTAAACAGGGTTAAGTGACTTGCCAAGGGTCACACAGCTAGTAAGCGACTGAGGCTGGATTTGAACTCGGGTTCTCCTGACTCCTGGCCCAGTGCTCTATCCACTGTGCCACCTAGTTTCCCCCATCCATGTCTGTATCTCTCTATACATTTTTCTTTAAAAAAATCAGTTTTGAAGTGTGACCTATGTCTGAATCAAAACTAATATTTCCATTTTACAAACAAGGAAAGTGAGGTTAAGTGCTGAGTTATTTAGCTAGTATGTACACTCAGATCAAGCCACCTACTCTTTCCTCCAAGTCCTGAGTCCTTTTTATTATAGCATGGTACCTCAGCCTCACATCAACTGATGCTCCCTGTGGTGGCTGGTGCATGAAGTATCTATGGGCAGCATGATACGAGACAGCACAAAAGTGATATGATTGAGTCCTCTGGTACTCACCTGCTGTGGTCCCTTCAGCGAGTCACTTGACATCTTTGGGATTCAGTTTCCTCAGCAGTGAAATGGGCATAAAAGTATCCATCATCTTTGTTCAGCCTTCTGTTAGGAATAACCAGAGTAGGTCCCTTTGCTAGTATCAAGTGCCTATATATAGTGTCTAATAATCACACCAAATGGCATAATCCTGCTAGTGTTTCCACATGCTGTTTCTCTTTCCTCTGACGCAGTCAATGTGTTGCTGCCAAGTTGGGAAGTTGTGGTGCCCTGCCAACTTCCAAGGCCATTTTGGATGACACATTCAAGTTCTTCCCTCATCTCAGCTCCCACATCTTTAATTGCTCAGCAGAAAATTTCCCACACATCAGAGGCTTCCTGCTCACTTCATCTGCTCCATTGTCAATCCCATTCCTCATCCTGAGTCTCCCCCTTTCCTTTCTCCACTTCTTTCTGGATCTCACTTTCAGTTACTTTGTCCCTCTGAAAGCTCCTTCTTACTTGGCAACTATCTCTTCTCTCTCTTTGTGCTCCCTCTCCTTTTATCTTTCTCTTTGACTCACCATTCATCAACCCTACCTTTATTCACCCCAGCCTCAACCTTGAAAACTATCCCTTCTCCCCCCCTCCCCCACCTAAACACCTGCCACTTAGTGCTTAGTGAATAAGAGAAGGGAAGGGCTGGAGAGAGAGTGGTAGCTCTGGAGAAGGCAAAATCAAAATGTAGAAGGCTCTCTTCTACTATGCTTAAAAGGCCAGAGACAAAAAAGAGATAGAGAAGGTACAAGTAGCCCCTTACATTTGGGGTGGGAAACAGAATTAAAGTCACCAAATGAAAAAGGACTAAAGCAGTGGCCTTGAGGCCGCATGTGGCCCTCTAGGTCCTTGGGTGTGGCCTTTTGACTGAGTCTAAGTTTTACAGAACAAATCCTTTTATTAAGGGGATTTGTTCTGTGAAGTTTGGATTCAGTCAAATGCTGCACTTGAGGACCTAGAGGGCCACATGTGCCCTTGAAGCCGCAGGTTCCCCACCCCTGGGCTAGAGGATCTTGCTATCCTGCCACAAGCCCTACTTCCTGTCCCTTCACATCTGTTTTTCTCCCTTCCTCCATTCTGTAAGCTGCTCTTTAGCCACCTGAGCAGACCTACCACTATTAGAGGAAGAAACAGAGGAAGAAGAAACCTGACAGTGATAGGTAATACCACACCCATGCCCACACATATTTGTCTCTTTGGCTGCTCTATGTCACTTGGTGACTCCAATTCAGTGACTGTTTTCCCCTTCCTTCTCTTTCCCATTTAAATCTCTTTCCAGAGCCATATGTCAGCTTCCTCTCCATCTCTTCCCCCCTGCCTTCTATTTCCCCCAATAAGGCTTTCCCTTTCTTTGCAAAGGGATGTGGTTGCCATGGCAACCAAGTGCCAAAATTATTTTAAATTACCATCTCTTTTTTTTAAGTTAACTTGAGAGATGTCTCCTACCCTCTCTAAGACACAATGATCCTATTTTCTCAGACAAGAAAAATTCCTAGGATAAATGAATCAAGATGGTTGGATTTGTGGGGTCTCTCTTTCCACCCCAGCCACACAGATGTTACAGAATATTCAAGCTGGAAGGTATTCCAGTTATCATCTCATTCAATCCCCTCATTTTTTTTTTTGCCTTTTTTGGTGAGGCAATGGGGTTAAGTGACTTGCCCAGGGTCACACAGCTAGTAAGTGTCAAGTGTCTAAGGCCGGATTTGAACTCAGGTCCTCTTGACTTCAGGGCCGGTGCTCTATCCACTATGCCACCTAGCTGCCCCTCAATCCTCTCATTTTACAGAAGAAGAAACTGAGGCCCAGACAGATGAAGAAATTGAACCAAAGTCACATGAAAAGTTAGCAGCAGAGCCAGGAAGTGACCCTAGCTTTCCTCAACAATGACCAGAGCTCATTTCAAAATATGCCCATTGCTGCCTCTCTCAACATTTCTGGTGCCTGGACAAGAATGCATAGAGACCTTTGCTAAGATAGAAGGAAGTGGCTCAGCTATTGTTACAAACAACCTGAGGTTCATATGTACACACAAACAGTCCATAACAACCTAACTGTTTTAAAATCTCTTCACAACCTCTCCTTAATGGTTATTTCGCTCTAATTACACTCATACAAGTATTATGAGGCAGGAACAGCCTATAGTGCAAAAGTACCTTGAGATCCACATCCTGACCCCTCCCCCCATGCTCTCTGGACCCTACGATGTTCTAGACCTCTGGGTGCCACGTTTTCTAGGATGTCAACACAATCCACCTGTCCAGCAAAGACCACTGCAGAATCACCTAGTGTGCACCAGTTGCCTAAAGACAGAATATCTGTGCAATCTACTCATCTCTCTCTGCTGGGACTAGTACCCTTTTGGGCTGTGGTAAGGGCAACAGCCAGAAGTACTTATTAAGTGCTAACTTCATATAGAACCCTGGGGGTAAAGGAGGTTGGAGGGAGGGTGGGAGTGTGATCTGAAGTTAAGATAAGACACAGGTCCCAGTCCATTAACATCTCTATCCCTGGAGATACAACATTTCCCTATCTGACTATGTTGTTGTTCAGTCATTTCAGTCCTGTCTGACTCTTTGTGACCCCTTTTGGGGTTTTCTTGGGAAGGATACTGGAGTGGTTGTACCATTTCTTCTGCAGCTCATCTTACAGATGAGGAAACTGAGGTAAACATGGTTAAGTGACTTGTCTAGGGTCATACAGCTAGTACGTATCTGAGGCTGGACTTGAACTCAGGAAGATGAGTCTTCCTGACTTTAGGCCTGGCACTCCATCCACTGTGCACCTAGCTGCCTCAGCCTCCTATCATTCATTCCACCTCTCCCCAAACCCCACCCCTCCTGAACCTATTCTTGAATCTCATTGAAACCTCCAGTTTTTCCATTCCTCAGTACTTTCTGAGGCCATTACTCCTACTCTGACTTCACTTTTCCTCAATGTCAATGCAAGAGTTAACACTTTTGTTGTACCCCCTCCTCTGCTCTCAAATCTCTTGCGCCCTTCTTCTACTACCACACATCTGTTACCAAATCTCAGTTCTGGATCACTCTCCTCCCACTTCTGTTCCTACTTATGAGCCACTGAATGTAGGAGGAAGAAGTCTCATAACCACGCTGACTGGGTACATTACAAAATCATGTTCCCCTGCCTCAGCTGGGTCTTCACAGCAGCGAGGCACTTCTATTCTGTCCCAGTTGATTCCTTACCTCATTCCTTGTTGAAGCTATTCTAAAACTTCTCTTTCCTCCTCAAGCTGCTCCCTATTTCCCACCCCAAGCAGAGGCCCTAGTTTCTTACTTACTGAGAAGATTAAGGCCATTCAATTTGAGCTCCCTCTTTTCCCATTCTCTTCATTTCAAAACCCCTTTATATCATCTCCACACCTTCCTCCTTTCTCCCAGTCTTTTACAAAGAGCTGGCCCTTCTCCTCCTTGGTAAGTCCAATCTCTCAACATGTGCACTTTTTCCTATCTCCTCTTATTTTTTCCAGCATATTGCATCCTCAGTCATACCCTTTCTTTTGAATGTTCCTCCCCTATCATCTTTCTTAATGCTTTCAGGTATGACTGTCTCCCCCATCCTTAAAAAAACACCAAAACCTTCCCTGCCATCTCCTCAAGCTTTCATTTTAATCTCCTCTCTGTGTTTCATCCAAATTCCTTGAAAATATTGCCTACATTGGTCACGTCCACTTCTCCTCCCATGAGCTCCTCAACCTTTTGCAATCTGGTTTCAGATGTCACTATTCAACTGAAACTGCTGTGTCTAATAAGCTCTTAATTCCCATATATGATGGTCTTTCCTCAGTTCTCATTCTTTTCAACCTAACTGCTACATTTGACTATATGGGCCACGCTCTCTTCCTGGATACTTTCTCCTCCCTGTATTTTTGAGACAGTTCTCTCCTGATTTGCCTCTGAGATCCCTGACTGTTCCTTCTCAATCTCCTTTGTTGGCATATGATCCATATCATGCACCCTAATTGTACGTGTTCTCCAAGGTTCTGTCCTAGGCCCTCTTCTCTTCTGCCTCTACAGCATTCTTTCTCCCTATAATCTCATCAGTGAATATGTGTTGAACTATCATTTTTATGTAGATGATTCTCAGATCTTAATTGGAGACCTAGTCTCTCCCTTGAACTCCAGTCCTGCTTCACCAATTGCCCACTGAACATTTTAAACTGGACATCCTGGAGACATCTCAAACTCATTATGTGCAAAACTGAAGTCATTTTCTCCCCCCTCCCCAAATCTTCCCTCTTTCAGAATTCCCTATTTCTTTCATAAGAACCACCCTTCTTACAGTGTCTCAGGTTTGTAACCTTAGCATCATCCTGGCCTCTTCTATCTCTTTCACCCTGTGTATTCACTCAGTTGTCAAATCTTGCTGTTTCTACCTTCATACTATCTTTCATAGTCAACTCTTCTTCACTTGCATAACTACCTTTACTTCAGGCCCTCATCACCTCTCACACAGATTATTGCTCTAACCTGATTGGTCTCCCTGTCTCAAATCTCTCCCCATTCTACTCCATCCTACACACTACTGCCACAGGAATTTTCCTTGAACACAGATCTGATCACATCAATCATCTCCACTGGCATCCAATCGCCTTTAGAATACAAGATAATTTTTTTCTTTTAGAGTCTTTTTCAACCTTGTCCTAAGCAATCTTTAAAGTGTTACTATATATTACTCCCCTTCATATACTATATGGTCCAACCAAACTAGACTTCTCTCTTTGCCTTACATATGGCACAGTATCTCTTGTCTTCCTGTTCTGGACTAGCTATTCCCCATGCCTGGAATGCAATCTCTCCTCAATTCTTTGCCTTCAACATTAGTCCTGTCACACTCAAATAGAAAGGGGTGGTGCATACTGATTTCGAAACCACATATTAAACACTATCAGGAAATATTAAGCAAAATAAATAAAAATATAACAAAACACAGACAATGTTTAGATAAAAATATTTATTCCATTTGTAGTCATATCTGTATGTTTTCTCTCCTGTGGAATATAAGATCCTTGTAAGCAGAGGTTGTTTCATGTTCTTTCTGTAACCCCA